TTCGGTATCTGTCTGCTGTTCTAATTGGGTGATTTTCATTATTCTATCTTCCAGATCATTTATTCGTTCTGCATTATTCATCATGCTATTCATTGCCTTTAGGTCAGCTTTTGTCTCTGCGAATGAATTTTCTAATTTTTCTTGGCTCCTCTTTATAGTTTCTAGTTTGTTTGTTTGTTTTTACAGTAATCTGCATTTCTGTCAATAGCCTTTCTTAATTCCTTCAGTATTTTCATTACCTCCTTTGTGAACTCGGTGTCTATTAGACTGAAGAGGTTTGTTTCACTCTTTGTTCCTTCAGGGGAATTCTCTTGATCTTTTAATTGAGAGTGGTTCCTCTGCTTCTTAATTTTTTCCCCTTATATTTCTCCTCCTCTGTGAGTTTAGGAGAAATAATTAACTACTGTGGTCTTGGAGGGTTATTTTTATGTGGGGGTATCCCTGTGTAGCCTGCGTGAGTTTAATATTTTTTGGTGCGAGGGCTGTTTTTAGTATGGATGCTTGCTGCCTCTTTCCTCAGTGTATGCTGGCCATTATCCCCTTAATAGGAGGTGTGACTGGTATTTTGGTGACCAGAGCCTGCACTGGATATTGAGTGGGGCCTCCTCTTTGCTCTGTGGTTGTCACTGCCCTGTCACTGTCACTGCCCTGTCAGGGGCAGGGTCTGCTCCCTAGTTGTTGGAGTAGAAGCTCCTAATCCATTTCTGAGCCGTGTTTCTGAGCTTCATTATGAGATAGGCAGGACTGGAGTGTACCCACTGGAAAGGAGCCCCTGGGTATTCCTCCGCTGGAGCTGTTGACCAGTGAGTGTGCACTGTTGTGTCACCTTTTTGTCTGTTGTGCAGGCTCACAAAGTACATTGTTGTTTGCACTGCCCTTGGCCCCACCTCAACCTTGGGAATGCCAGCACTCGGCCCTAGTGTCCCTCAGGCATCGTTTTCGCAAGGCCACCAGCACAGATCCACTGAAGTCAGGTTTTAGGACCACAGCAGTTGCGCGCCTGGACCCAATGTGGAAGGCTATGGAGGCAGCCCAGACCCTGGCCAAGCCCCCATGTGCACGTGCCCGCACAGTCCAGCCCACAGCTGCTAAGGCCAGACCTGTCCCAGCGGCAGAAGCACCCATTGTGTGTTTGGATGTCCCACAGGCACTGAATTTACAAAGCTGGTGGCACAGGTGTAAAACTGTGGCTCACGCAGTCACTGGGAGAGATTTCAGCGCTGCTTCCTAAGTCACGTGGCCCCTGGCACTCAGCTGTGGATGCTGCTTTTAAAGTGTTCAACAGGGAAAAACAAGAAAGATGATGCAAAACGAAATGCCATTTTTTGGCAGTGGCATTGGGTTCCAGGAAAGCGAGTAACCCGAAGAGAGGTAAAGCCATGACAGTAAGGAACAATGTACTTACTGTAAGGAGGAAGAACATTGGAAAACAGATTGCTCTAGGCTGAATCGTGAGAAGAAACACAATAAGATGAGAGCCTCTCACATGGTAGAAAGAGAGGAACACTCTGATGAATGAAGAGGCCTGGGGCTCCCTTGGACTTGGTGCCTAATTCCCCACACCCAGAGCCCTGGGTAAAATTGACAGTGGGGAATGAGCTGCAAGTTTGCTGGGATGAAGGAGAAGACTGATCATTATTCTGGGAAAAAGCTGGAAGATGGCCCCAAATTCTTGTGATGTTGATATGGTTCCTGGCAAGTCCACTGTGTTGAGACCTTCTCTGGCTACCCTGCTCTGGACCACTTTGCTGGTGGTGACATGAGACAGACGGTTGCTATAGGTGTTATCAAAGCAGTGGACAAGAAGGCAGTTGGAGCTGGCAAGTCACCAGGTCTGCCCAGAAAGCTCAGAAGGTTAAATGAATATTATACCCGCCACCGCAGTCTTAATCGGTGGTCAAAGATGGTCTCAGAACAGTTGGTCTCAACTGGCCATTTAAGTTTCATAGTAAAAGACTGGTTAATAACAACAATTCATCGTAAAACCTTCAGAAAAAGGAGAATTTTTTGTGGACCATTTGTTTTGTGTGTGTCAGTTTTAAGTTATTAGTTTTTAAAATCAGTATCTTTTAATTGGTTAAAACCCTCCTTAAGGAAATTATCCCCTGATTTGGATTAAGGCATTGGAATTACATTCATCCTGGAGACCACAATAGGAAAAACTGAGAAAATGGATTCTAATTTAACTTGAGATAAGGCCTTGCCAGTTGCCCTGCTATGGATCAGTGGCTCCCAGTAGCAGGCTTAAATTAAGTCCCTTTGAAACACTGAATGGTAGTCCATTCCAGGTGTCTGCCCAGGTGATAGAATCTATAGATGCTTTAAAAGACCTAGCAGTTGCCAATGATGTTGAAACTTTGGGCACTATACTAATCTCTGTTCATGAGTTTGCCTCCAACAGGTCTGCCTATCTAACTGAAGTAGATGGGAATTTCATTGTAGCTGGAGAAGGGTCAACCAAGTTGTTTAATTTTGTCTAAATAAATAGCACAGGAATTTAGTATATGTACTGAGAACTGGAACCAAAACACCCAAGTTCAATTACAAATTAGACAACAAAGTGCTAACGGGCTTCATCAGGTTCAGATAGTTGTAGATATATAAAAGGACAGACTAAATAGTCTAAGGAATGTTTGTCACCTCCGGAAGTAGCCAGAGCGGTCTTTGTCCTTTTCCCACAAGTTGGTGGAGTAGACATTGGCAGTCAGGAATTGTAATAGGAAAGAACCTTTGTATTCTATTACAAGTTAATCACTAAAAGTATGTTGCCTATAAGCTTAAATTATACATAGTGGCCCATCTCTGGGAAGCCTGCCTCCCAGGTAATGAGCATTAAGCTAAAAAAAACCTTTGTTTAGCTCACAGGAAACATCCTGACCGGGCCCACCTGTGAATGACTGCAGGCAGGAAGAAATTAACACATCCCCTATGCAGGTGGACCAGAACCAGGAAATGTTTGACTTTACTCCCTCCTCTTTTAGTATAAAAGAAGCCTGAGTTCTAACTCAGGCACGATGGTTCTTTGGGGCACAAGTTCACCATCTTCTTGGTCTGCCAGCTTTCCGAATAAAGCCGCTATTCCTTGCCCCAACAACTCATATCTTGATTTACTGGCCTGTTGTGTGGTGAGCAGTATGAGCTTGGACTTGGTAACACTGAGCCCAGGAAGTGCAAAATTCCAGAAGGGAGATTTAGGTTAGGTGCTAGAAAGAAGAGTCTGCTAGAGACCATGGAATGAGCTATATTCCCGAATTTATCTCTCCAGCCACTTGCAAGCAGAGGTTTGATGGCCACCTTTTAGGGTTTCTCTTAATGCTATGAGATTGTTCTGGGTAACCTCAAAGGTTCCTTCAAGGTTCTACGATTCCATCAGCCTTGTCCTTGGCCAAATGTATTAATTAGGACTTGTGACTTCATATAGCAGGCACCCAACTAACCAGAGCTTGAATGTATGGGCTCTCTTGGAAGAGCAAAGATGCAGCCGATCCTCAGTTGTAACGGAACTAGGAACATGAAACCTGCAGGACTCTCTTCAATTCATGCCTCCTTGAAGGAGCTTATAAGTTAGTCAAAGTGTTGATTTAATGATGGAAGAATGTTTAACTCAAACTCCTTATTTCCCAGGTGAAGAAATGATTGCCAGAGAGACTAAGTGACTTAAGTCATATGAAGAACTTGAGTGCCGTAGATTGTTTTTTGTTTGTTTTTTATTCCCTCTTACACACTGCTTCTCAATACACATTTCACAAACCAAAGGTGGATGTGTGAACTTCTGTTCATTCAGTCCATGGATGCTAGAGGATATTGAGGCATCATGAGCTGTGTGAGTGGAGACAAACATGCAGAGAATGTGATTTTTATGCCAAGAATGTTAAAGGTTAAGTCAGTACAGACAGCTTTGGTGATTTCTTGGCCAATTCTCCCACAGCCCCCATGATAGTGACCATCATGTCCTTCATCTTTGCTTGTGGACCCTCGGTGTCTGGAGTTCCTGGGAAAGTGAAGGTGTTGGCGTCGATGCAGCCATGTGGTTAGGGTTTAGTCAGGAACTGCTACAGGAGAGCTCAGTCCTGAGCCAGGAATTGCAGGAAGGGACTAACATGGATCACTTCTGAGAAAGTAGAAGGGCTTTTCAGGAGAGGGCATATAAAAAAAGGCGAGGAGATTTTTAGGAGTGTATGAACAGCAAAGAAATATCTTGCTAGAGCAGAGAGTATATATTAAATAGTGAAAATATGGGATAGATATGGGGGACTGGGCTGGAATCGAGTCCTTGGAAATGAAAGAAATGGCTGGTTCAAGGAATGGAGAGAGAGCTAGGTTTGGATTTCAGTTGGATTTTATTAATTAATCAAACTCGCTCTTAAATTTAGAGCCGGGGAGGACTTCCACTGGAACTCTGCTGGGGTTCTTTCTCGCAGTTTGAGGACCACCCTAGAAGGGTATGGAGAGACCCTCTCTTCCACTCATGCGACAGAAGCCAGTCTCTGGACAGGTTGTTATATATCAGTTGCTCCATGTCAGGTTACCACGTGTGTGTCCCCAACTGAAAATGCACCCCACCCCAGTCCCCCACAAAGTTGAACTGACACATTAGTGGAAACACATAGCATAGTGCCAACTGTCACCCTCACCATCTCCAACCAGGGAATGGCAGAGCCTGTGCGTGATTCTCTTTGACTGCTGTCAGTGGAGGCCACACTGACTCAGAAATCTCACTCGTTTAAATCTGTGAGTTGCTGAGTCATTTCATCAGAAAGCACCTCAATTCTGCAATAATCTTTTTTAAAAGCAACCAATTTTAACGATGTGAGCCGAAATCCTTTGGCATTTTAAAGTGCTCTACTGAGGGCTATCTGCTAAGACTAGCGGTTTGCTTCTGTTATGGAGAGGCGGAAAAGATGATTTCATTGTCTTTAAATCATGTGCGGGCTCAGGGAATGAGCTGTAGCAGGCTTGGGAATGTGTGGGAAGAAGTCAGAAGGCCATGCATACAACGTCTGCAAAGAAAATGTTTTATTTAAAGTGTTAAATACCATCACGAGAATGAATTTGAGTTTTACATTAGTTGGTGTTCATTACAGGACTAATCTGCCCTTTTTTTTTTCCAACTGGAATTCCCTTTACTTTTAAAACATACTATGTACAGGGCAGCAATGGTCACTGGAATAGTGTTATTTACATGACTAAACCACAAGTAGAGGTGCAGACATGTGAAAATTAAAAAAAAACAAAAAAACACCAACATTAAAATAAATACTGCATAATGACAGGTATGTACAAATATTCCATACAGTCATGTCCCTCTTGTTAAAATTAGAAATAATTTATATAGGAATATGCACAAAAGATTATGTGACTGCATCTTAGTATCAGGAAAATGGTAAACGTTTATTCTAAGGGAGAGTATAGACACTATAGATCTAGTAAGTCAATTGTTGCTGGTACACAAGTGTCTACATTATTTCTGTAGAGTTTTATTCGTTCCTTTCAACTTTACCTGGGTCCATCATAGGTCTCAGAATGTCAAGACACAGTCTTGGTGTATTTCGTATTGCACCACATAAAGAGAAGGCATTTTTAGTGATACTCATTTTTAACTTTTGCACCATATCAAACATGATAGTTTTGAATGGTCAACACTGAACTTAAAAAGGAACACAAGAGAGCAATTTTTGTGCGTGGCCTTAAACAGATGGTATGTACGTGGATTTCAAAAGTTGTTGCAAGAAGTTAAAATCCATCTATAAGAATGTGTTATCAAAGTGCACAGAAAGAAACAAAGAAATATGGGTGGTTTATTACATTACTCGGTGACTTTTCTCCTAAGTCGGGGAACTTAAGAGAAATTTGACCTTGCAGCACCACCCAATGGTAATAACTGTCTGTAAAACCAAAGGCAGGGGTTTGATTTTGGGGATTTGTGTGTAGACTTTCGGTGATGGCATCAAAGAACTGTTAATAGGCAGACTGACTTTCTTTGAGTCACCTAAAAATTGGAGCTTTAAAATTATCTGTTGCAAATTTATGTTTGCTATATTTCTTTAGAAATATAATTTGTGAAAAATTGAATTTTACTACAGAAAGAATGAATTAATAAACAGCCTTGTGTTTCAGGGCTCCAAATTGTTAGCGTTTCTATTCACATAGTAAATGGAAATTGGCTAAAGGAATTGCTTCATGCTTTAATTAATTAGAAAACAAAACACAAAACCTAAGACCTTCTAGAAATAATACTTTAACCCCTGTATGAATAATGCTGGTGCTAAAAACAAATTTATTAGACGTTACAATGGCCACATGATTTTAGGCTTTTCCTGTAAACTAAACTTTGAAGATGAAAATAAAATTACCATGCACTGTACAATAAATTGCAAAAGTTCAAATATCTTCTTTATCAAAGACATGCTGACTTGCTCTAATGTACTCCCAAGTCATGTTGCAAGATCCTTTTCAACATGCTTGAAATAAAGAAAGCTCTGTTTTTTTCCCGCCTTGAGAAAGTCAGAGATTCAGAAGCATCTACAGCTCTGAATCAAACATGGGGTATAAGAGAGTATCAGGTCAAAAACTTGTGTTTAGCATAATGTTCACTCTGGTAGGGAGAAAGAAAATAAAAGCTTAAAAGAGAGAGAAGAAAAGTGAGACAGAGGAAGATGTGAACAATTTGCACATATTGAACTTTAAGGTTTGTATATTTAACATGGAAATAAATTGAATATGTTATACTTATTTGTCACACGAAGAGAATTTTAAGTATTTTCTAGAAAGTATTTTCTTCTGTAATGTCTGCCAAAACACAGACTATGATTAAAGAATAAACATGGTGTGTCTTTGTATCACCCTGTTGCATTCTCTCCCTTTTTTAAAACCATGCACTAGTGAAATTTATTTTTAAAAATAATATAAATTGTTGAAAATGGCTGATTTTTATTTTTATTTTTTGCAAGTTGCAGCCCCAAGAAAATAATTTAAGTATTCAGCTAATCTGTGTCCATGCAAAAAAAAGTTTAATTTCATTCAGTACAGTGTAGCCACAGAATTTTGTTTTTCAACTCATCTTGGCATTAGTAAGTGCCATGCCTGCTGGAACTCTGAAGTCTGCCACTGTTCACTATGTCATGCTGGACTGGCTGCTCCCGTCCCCGTCCAGAGGAGGGCTGACGTTTTTGTCCTGGACCAAGTCTTTGGTCTCTTGCTTTTCACCTGATGCTTCCTAGGACTTCATGCCTTGCCTTGTAACATGGCTTAATCGCTGGATAGCTCCATTTCTGTGGCATCACAGGACTTTGGGGTCAGAGAAATGAAGAAAAAGGAATGCTAAAAATATAAAGGTGCCATTGAAAAGGGCTTTTGTTGCATGAAACTGATTCTTTGAGATTAATCCATGGCTTCAGATTGGACCAAAACGTGAGTGTTATTGAACTCCAAACCTGATAGTTCGTCATAGCTCCGCTCTTTCACCTGAGGGCCTTCTTTAGGGCACAATGTGTGCAACTTCCTCTGAGAACACAGGATCGCTTTGTATCCCTAGAAACAGGCTCAGAAGACACAACATTAAGCATGCAGTGTTACCAGGGTTTGCGACCTGTGGGGTTTTTTTTTTTTGTAACGCTGGTTGCTATGACAACAGTTTTACAGCTGCTATGAACGAGAGTAAGAAGGTCCAGTTGAACTTTCCAGAGATGATTGGGAAGCTCTTCTTGTCAGAGGGGCCAAGGTTGGATCTACTAGGGAGGAAGGGGGGAAAAGTTTGAACCAGCCAATCACCATGTTGGATAGCTCCAGTTCATCTAAAAGTATCTGGGCCACTCCCATAAAGGATTTGTGATCCATGCGGCCATAGTCTCCCCAGACTATGATCTGTTGGCAAAATTAAAAGAGCAATGTCAGTATAATCATGTATGTAAAAGCTTGTCAACTAAAATGCATTCAGTAAATGTGCTGACATCAAACATCAGGTTATGTAGTTGTATTTAATTACTGGGATAGTTGTCTTTACCGGAATCCGAAGGTACGTTAGGAAAACTTTACAGGAGTGTTAAGATCATAAGCAATCAAGGAAGATGGGAGCTTATGTGTGATGGGGGTTTACAAGTCTATAGTCACTTTAAAGGAAACAACAGTGTGTATAGCTTTTTTTTTCTTTCTCACATTCATTTCCATTATGGTTTATTACAGGATATTGAATATATCGATAGTTCCCTAGTGTGTATAGCTTTATAGCACTGGCCACTACTTTGAAGTTTCCCAAGAATTTCAGCTGTGAGGAATGGAAAAGGATGCGATAAGAAAAGATGGTGGATACAAAGTTTGACTCCATGAAGACACTTTCTTAGGTAAGGAATATATAATTCAGTAAATACCTGTAAAACCTTTCCTTGGGGACTTTCTTCAAAAGATAATAGTTGCTGGTAGAGGGGTTCCAGCGTCTTTCTTGCCACCTTTGTTTTCTTTTTGGCTATGCAGACTCCATTATCTAATAGATACACCTTTACATATGGTGCTTGGGAAAGAAAACACAGAGGAGAGTTAAGTGATGAGCTATGGTTATGGAACACCCAGCTTACAGGTGATATCTGCCACAGCTTAATCTTAGGCTGGAAGAGCCAGCGGTCAAAAATCACTGGCCTTTCCACATTACGTCAAAATCATTAGCTAAACAATAGATAACTATCAGCCATTCAGGTAGTTTTAGGCAATGTTAACATAGCATCTGAGTTGATTACTATTTTGCCATCAACTGGTTATATGGATTTGAACAACCGCATTAAAAAAAGGAGAAATGCTTCCAGTCCCTAACAATTTCAAGAAAGATGTCTCGCTCAGTTTTTCATGTGTCAATACTTAAATCTAATTAAACGTGCTCGAAATTATATTGTTTTACTCACCCATCCCCACAAATCATTGATCACTCAAAAGGGTTTATTTATTGATGGTGTGGGTACACAACAGGGGTGGGGTTTGATGTAATATGTTCAAATTAGCCAGGAAGAGGCAACTAATTATGAATACCATGGGTTCAAGTTTTTCTGACAGACTCTTCATAAAAACATTTTCGTGCATGTACAAACTGCAGGATTCTTTCTAGCAGAGTCAGTTGACTAAGCGCCAAGACGTTTATGAACACAACTGTCTTAATCACCACTGCAAGGTCGTACAATAGGTAACATACATTACAATTTGGAATTTCTGCAGGGACAGGGAAGCTAGAGATTCAAAATTACAATTCAGTCAGTGGAGGCGCTGAGGTGAGAAACCAAGTTTCAGAATTGTTCTATACATCAGATCCAGTGTTCTCTACATCTCTGCATCAGACATCTGGAATCTGTGGCATTCCCCATGGCTTGAAGCACCTTAGATTATGACATTTCGGTATGAAATATGTGACATCACAATAAAAACTTATAATGGTGCCTCTCTATACATTACAGGAAGTAAGAATCTTAGAATGTCCTTCACATATGGGCTTATACTACTTTGGGAACCTGTAAATATGTTTATTCTAATTCCAGGACTCTAAGGATTCTTAAGGAGAATTTAGACGCTCCAGATAAACTGAAGAATAACACAAAACACTAGCTAACAAGAACTTCTTATGTACATGTCATACAAAATGAATGTGATAGGTTTTATTTTGCAGTGGTTTCTACCACATATGTGCTTATCTAACGACTTGTCTTATCCCCATCTGGCCACTCTCACTGGGTGCTCACTCAGGACAAACACACAAACTACCACTTAACTGTCTCATTTATTAGTGTCCTTGATCATTTAAGAGCAAAGTTTCCAGTATCTAATCAAAAACAAAGTCTGAATTGAAAAGTGTGAATTATGAACAGTAATAGAAGAATCTCTTCTGTTCTTACCTGGCAGTGTCTTGGAACCTGGTTTTACAACAAGGCCACGGGCCCGAATGATTTCCACCTCCAGCTGTCCCTTTTTGTCCATCATTCCTACCTGAATGTCACCTAATGGCATGTGAGGAAGAAACAGTGAGAGAAATGTTTGTGCCAAAGACCTTGGTTTAACATTGTTTCATCATTTCCTACATCTTTTCCTAAATTCAAATATATTTAAAAATTTATCAATGATACCTTACTTTAAAAAGCATATAAATTAAAATGGAAAAAATTTAGTCAAAGTTTTTTGTTTAAATCTAAGATACTCATTCCTGATAATACTGTTAAAGATCCTATGAAATTAAAGAATGTGATTTAAATAATAATAATCTAAAAGAAAAACAATGAATCACATGACAAATTCTTACCCATGGCAGGTGTGGCCAGAGTCTGGCGCCCCACTAGCTGGGCAGGGCCAAGGCCATCCAGAAAATCACTGAATTGGCTATCAGAGGCCAAGCGGACACCAGGGAAAATCAGACTAAAAGTAAAATAACACACAGGATTAAACCCTCGACTCCTGTTTCCATCTAGCCCCCTTTCCATGGCAGGAGCAGTTGGTACCACTATTTTGCCACTTACATTAATTGGATCCCAACCTCCCCACTGCACCTCCACGGCTCTCCCTCCTTATCCTCTAGCAGCCCTCGTCCTGTATTGCAAGCCTCTGTTTATGTGCCTTTCTTTTCCTTGTCTGGAGGGCATGAACTCTGATATCTATGTATAGCACTCAGTACACTTTGAGCACTTATTCCATGACAGGCATTAGCATACTGAATCTCTTAGCTGCACTATGAGAGAGGTTCTATTATTTAACCCATTTTATCGATGAAGAAAGTCTTCAGATCATTCCCATCAACACCCAAACACACTGCTATTTCTTCCACCTTAAAAAAATCCCTTTCCTAACTTCCTTCCCTCCCCAGCTACCACCCCGTTTCTCTCCTTGAAACTTCGCGGAGCTGTCTCTATGTACCATCTTCAGTTTCTTTCCCCTCATTCTCCTTTGAAAATCGAATCAGTTTTTCCTTGCTCTCTTTCTCCACTCCACCAAAATTTCTCTGATGAAGGTTACCTAACAGCCACAGTGGTAAATCCGACCGTTAATACTCCAGACTTGTCTAATTGAACATATTAGCCTCATTTGACCCAACTGATCCCTCCCTCTTCCTTGAAACACTTTCTCCACTTTGCTTCCTGGACTCTCTAGCCTCCTGGTTTTCCTCTTTGGCTATTCTTCCTCAGTCTCCTTTGCTAATTTTGCCACTAAATATAGGAGGCTCCATCTTTTGACTTCTTCTCTGTAAGTCCTGATTCCCTTGGCAAAGCTCATCCAGTTTCCAGGTTTTAAACACCATCTATGCTCATATTGCCTAGACTGACATCTCCAGCTTGGGGCTCTCACTTGCGCCCCAGACCTGTATTCTAACTGCTGTCTCCTTACCTGCTTGAATGTCTAATAGGCAATTGAAACTCAACTTGTCCCAAGCTGACTCTCAACCCCCAAACAAACAAAACATCAAACTCTGCTCTTCTCAGAGGATTCCTATCTTAAATGGCAGCTTCATTCTTTCAATTGCTCAACCCTGGAGTTGTCTTTCCTCTGGACTGAATATTAAAGCCGTAATCCTCAGTATGACTGTATTTGGACAGTAGAACCTTTAAAGGGATATTTAAAGTTAAATGGGTCATAAAGGTGGGGCCCTAAGTTAATATGACTGGTGTCCTTATAAGAAGAGGAAACACCGGGGGTATCCATGAAGAGAGAAAAGACCATGTGAGGACACGAGAAGGTGGCCATTTGGGAGCCAAGGAGAGAGGTCTCAGGAGAAACCAAACTTGCTGACACCTTGATCTTAGATTCCTAGCCTCCAGAACTATGAGAAAATAAATTTCTGTTGTTTAAGTGGTACTGTTTCTGTGTATTTTGTTACGGCAGCCCTAGCAAACTAATATACTCTTTCTCTCACATTCATATCAAATGCATTACTGAACCTTATTGTCTCTACTGTCAAAATACATCCAGGGGGCTTCCCTGGTGGCGCAGTGGTTGAGAGTCCGCCTGCCGATGC